GTAGGCATGACACCTTCACACTGGGATAGTTGAAAGACAGTAATGCCTTGCAATTGGCTATTTTGGGTGGCACATTAGGAAATCCACCTCCTTGATACTCAAGACATGTGGATGAAGTTGAAGCTCCTGCCTTACCTGAATTTTAATTGTGGATTAATAAAATTTTCAATAGGATATTTATCTGAGTGCCAGTAGTTTCACATGCATGACACATACTAATGTGCTTTAAAATAGTATTTAGTGTTGGAAAGTCCAGGCTTCTGATATCAAGTAGGGGCTATTAATGCCAATCCAGTTTAATATCCAAAGAACCCTTTCTTTAGAAGATGATGCCATCAGGTAGGTAAAAGTGTATCTGCATTCAGGAAAACTGACATTTTTTTATTTTGCCTTCCTGGATTATAATGCTCGAATTATCCATGTTCTAAAACTTCTACAAAATTTTCATTTCATCTTTTTGGTCCACTGTATGACTTAGTGAAATTTGAAAATCATTGAACTTTCAATTCCTGTGAGGTTTGTGATGTTACTCATTGGAATGTTTTTTATAGATGCAGTACTAGTCCATCAACACTTCTGTATCTGCTACTTGGTATCTTATTGTACAGTACCGATATTCTGATAATTCAGAAATGTTCAAATAAAAACATTATTTTAGTAACTTGCAAAGAATGTAATAACTGTGATCAGGCTAACATGCTAATATTTGAATCTGCTTGGAGCTTATATGAAATATGACAAACTTCATTATGCTCTGTACTAGATCAGTTTTCTTACCTAAAATGACTGCATTTTCCCTACACAAGAGATCTAATTAGTTAAGTTCACTTATGATACAGCTATAACTTGCATTTAAATTAATATCATGAAGTAAACTTATTTTTATTTCCTGAACATCTTTTCTTCCTCTCTCTGCCTAGGTGGTGGAATGGGTGGTATGAATAGTATGACTGGAGGAATGGGAATGGGGATGGATCGGATGAGCTCCAGTTTTGATCGAATGGGACCAGCTATGGGAGCTGGCCTGGACAGGAACATTGATATGGATCGAGGATTTGTGGCTGGCCCGATGGGAAGTGGTGTGAGAGAGAGAGGTTCTAAAGGCAACCAGATATTTGTCAGAAATGTAAGCATGTGAATTCAAACGAACAGCTATTTTTTCCACTCTGTGTCTGTATATATTATTAATATCTGTTTTCATTCTAGCTTCCATTTGACTTGACCTGGCAGAAGCTAAAAGAGAAATTCAGTCAGTGTGGTAAGTATATGGAAGGCTGCAAATGTTGTTGTCCTGCATAAGCCATAAAGTAAGAGCTTAACAAATGTCCAGTCTACAGGAACAGTGGGATGTAGTTATTGCCTAGACAAAATGTTAAATAGCCTGAAGAGTAGTCTGGCCAGCCTTATCCTGCACACATACCTTAATTTCTGGGAAAATTACTGTACTAAATTTACCCTTGCGACTTTAGATGTGACTTACAGCTGGAGCCAATTTGTTTTTGTTCAGCTAGATGGGCCTGGTCTATGTATTATCTGAGGGCTGTGGCTTATAAAATAATTCTTGCTATATTGTTTGGCTTTGTGTATGGAAGACGTGCAGGATTGCGGTGGATATTTAACATAGCATTGATTTATGCGGTACTTCGGAACGCCTTTATGGCCCTATTGCTAAAAATGCATGAATCATGGGGCTTAGATGTAAGAACAAACAACTTGTTTCCCCCCTTTGAAAACTCACTTTCTGAACTCCGAACCTAATTGGCTTCTTTTACTTTGCGGGGGGAGAGAGGAGGAAGAAATAATTCTCAGCATAGCACTGCCATCTGATATGTTGAATAGACAGTCAAACATTTGTGCTGTACAAATTTGATAGCTAATGTACATAGGTTTTGTCCAAGCAAATGAAGTTGCAGGTATTCCTGCTTTTGACTTCATGCAAAGATGTTCACTGCTGGGATGTTATGGGTACATCTACAAAGCAAAAAACAACACAAAAAACCTGCGGCAGTGAATCTCAGAGCCCAGGTCAACTGACTTGGGCTGGCACTACAGGGCTAAAAATAGCAGAGTAGACACTCCTGCTTCAGCTCTGAAACTTGGGGGCGGGTATGGGAACCTCAGGGCCTGGGCTCCAGCTTGAGTGGGAACATCTATATTGCTGTTTTTAGCCCTGTAGTGCAAGCCCAAGTCAGTTGACCCAGATTTTGAGACTTACTGCTATAGGGGGTGTGTGGGGTTTTTCTCCCCCCTCCCCGTGTTGATGTAACCTCTGAGACTGTGTTTATGCTACTTGGCAGGAGTGCATAAGATAGTTTACTATTTTCCAGTCTCTTGCGGCTATTTTTGTACCTAAACTTTCTTCCTCTTGGCTATCTTCAAGTTTTACTGTTGTGCCTAGAACCAATTGTACTTGGCGTTGTACGAACATAAAACAAAAGATAGTCTCTGCCCCAAACAGTAGTAACCATTTTTTGCAAGTGCGCTAATCTTAATAGCTGCCTTCTTTCCATGTGTAACCGTGGTAACGTTGCATCTTAAAATTAAGAGAATTTTGTGAACATTGGAAGAATGTGGAATTAAACTGTGGAAAAACCTTTACAAGCCATTCTGCAAATATTAGTATAAAGGAGAAGCAGGGAGGGGAACTAAGGAGAAGTATGAAAACAGAATCTCTGTTTAAGGGTTGTCTAAATACAGTTTTTTGTACTGCTTTAGCTATATCAGTTTCTAAACCAATAATACTGGTACAACCGCCTAGTGTAGATGCAGTTATACAGTTATAAAGGTGCTTTTACCAGAATAGTTTTTATCCATAAATTTATAGAAATAAGCTATACTGAAAAGAATCTTTACCTGTGCCCACAGTATCCCTGTTTCTAAACAATGCAATTTCTGTTCGGATTTAACTAGATGAGCCCTAGAAATGCATCTGCTTTTCTTTGACAATCTTCACAGCAGCTAACGTAGTAATTGTTGAATGATTTTAAGAAAAGAATGATTAGTACAAATCAGAAAAATCTGTACATCATGCAAATATCATTAAGGGACTACAAAGAATATCTGTCTCTAAATGTTTCATCTCTTTCTGTGAAAAGTCAGTCTTATATTGTGAGTCTCTTAAAAATGAGGCCTACATTTTAGAGAGGCTTGCCTACTTTTGGTGGCTTGGCTGTATTAGCATGGTGTAGCTCAGGGGTCGGCAACGTTCGGCACATGGCCCGTCCCGGGCCAATGGGGGCGGCGAGAAGCGGTGTGGGCAAGCGATGTGCTGGCCGTGGCTTCTCGCCGCCCCCGTTGGCCCGGGACGGCGAACTGCGGCCAGTGGGGGCCGCCATCGGCCAAACCTGCCGCGTCAGCAGGTAAATAAAACTGGCCCGGCCCACCAGGGTGCTTACCCTGGCGAGCCGCGTGCCGAATGTTGCCGACCCCTGGTGTAGCTAAAAGGATAGCTCATTATGAAATGTCTTTCTTAAAACACCCAGTTAATGACTAGTTTTCTGTCTTGAGTGCTTTTTGAAATCTTGCATCTTCTAAAGAAGTGTATTGAGGATAAAGGAATGTCCATTCATGAAAAGTCATCTAATTCTTATTTCAGTAATCACTCCAGTAACGGAACTTCCACTCCATTTGATCTGTACTATGATTGTTTTACTGTAACATGCACCTAGTAAGTAATCACCATGTGATTGCTAGCATCTTTAAACTGCCCGATAGCTCAAATTGTGGCTGAAAGGGGCTCAAAACTGGTCTTATTCTAATAGGATTCTCTGTTTGTGCAACTGAGCTTAATTAATTCAAGCAAAAGCATGTTTAATTCTATACTGGTATGAGACAAGGACTGTTGCTATTTGTGTAGACCAGGGAGTTTTCATACTCTGATTCTTGTCTGCTGTATTGACACTTATGTTTCCTTTCAATAAGTAAACACTACCTGAATGTATTGGAATAGCAACTCTTATGTTTTAATTATTTTTTTTATAAAAATGTAAGTTGACACCTCAGATTGACCCAAAGATTCAGTCTGCTGTAAGATGGATGCAAGCTTTATACTTGGTTAGTCCATTTGATGGTAGTATGTTTTTAGATTGTATTTTAACATCGAAGCTTAGATACTTCCTAAAAATTTTTTTTTAAATGTCTTTCTACCTCAATCTGTCATTGGATCTCTAACTTGGTAGTGCAATGTAGCCTTTATAGTAACTGCTGTTTAACTTATTTATTCAGGTCATGTAATGTTTGCTGAAATAAAAATGGAGAATGGAAAATCAAAAGGCTGTGGAACAGTCAGGTTTGACTCACCAGAATCTGCTGAAAAAGCCTGTAGAATAATGAACGGCATAAAAATCAATGGCAGAGAAATTGATGTACGCTTGGATCGCAATGCATAATTTAAAACTGTGTTCAGGAACATTCCTATGTCTGTTTAGCTTCTATATCCTAGTAAGTCATTTTTAGTAACATTGTATGCTTACAAAAGCGGTAAAAACAAACTTTTAAATCCCACCAGCCTTTAACAGTATAGTGTTTAATATACTGTGATTCTTGTTAACTAAATCTTACTATGTTTGGTTTTTAAGGACAGTTTGCCCGATTTTCAGAGGTACTGAACACCTGCAGTCCCCTTAAAGACAGCAGAAGCTGTGGATGCTTGGCACCTCTGGAAAATTAGGCCAAGTGTCTCTAGTCATTCAGTTTAAATGAATGGTTATACTGTTTTTAATAAAATAAGCCATTTTCTCTGTTCTCAAGATTGCATAGTGGGATTTGTTTAGTGTTTCAGATTCCCTCAGCTCGTATCAACATTGTAATGTAAAAAATTAGATGTCCCTTCCAGAATTTTGGTTTTATATATGCATTGTAGTCACACTGTAATTCTTGACTCTAAAAAAAAAAAGAAAAAAGAAAAAAGGGCTCCAATTAGGCTGTGATGTTGTTTTATTTTTAAGATTACTTTTATGCCATGATTTAGAACTTCTGTAAATAAGTTTTAGAGCCCAAAGGGAGTTTTGGATTTTTTTTATTTGACTAAATGAAGAAATTGATCCTCTCTCATTGTTTTGTGTCTTCCTCAGTACAGTCACTGGCTAAAACTAGCCACCACAGACCTTTACAGGATTGTTCCCTATGATCCCAAGTTCATATAAAATTGACAGAATAGCAAATGCTAAGTACATTACTAGACAGATTGCTCCCAGTTTTTTATCTAACTTCCAACCATTCAGGTGAACTGCCAGAAAAATAAAAATAATGGAACAAATAAGAGAAATTGCTGTGTAAGTCAAACCACTGCTATTCACTTCCACAGGTGCTGATGTATCTATGAAGGCAGTTTTTATAAACCAAGGTAATCCCAAACACAGCATATCGAATACATTGGATCCTACAATGTTAGACATAGCCATATCTCCTTTTCCTGAAAAACAAAAAACACCGAGTGTTCATTTAATTTTATTGCACTGTAGAAAGAATTTTCTAAGCATCTCCCTAAACTACGAGCATCTATATCGAGATCACTTGATAAAGTAAGCTATATACCACCGGCTAAAATCAATCCTGTTGGAACACAATTAAACTTGCAGTTTTATAGTAGTCATAATTCTTGTTCAACAGCAATCAAACTTTTCCTAAAATGTTTGATATATTTTTTTTTAACTTTAAATTTTAGAAGGCTAAGCTACAATGACTTTAGGTGAACTTCAGTATTTAATACTAATGAATTTTGTTTTAGACACTCAAAACAGTGGCAGCTTTATGACTTGCTCTGTGAACCTTTCAGAAATATCTGTGTTGAGACCTCTCTGCCCTAGCTCCTAAAACAAGTTCTTAATGGAGTGAGCATGAATGCTGAAATTCTTACCTTTCCTAGCCACCAGTACGCTTGCAACTGTGTCTGGTATGCTTGTCCCTGCTGCTAGTAATGTAAGACCCATTACTGTCTCTGGAATTGCCAGCGTATCACCTGTAGTGAATAAACAAGTAACAACACATTTCATAGGTGAAGTCTGGTCCGAGGACACTGCTACATATGTTTTTACCAGAGAAAGAAAGGATTGGTATTTGTATGCTAATTCTAAAAGGAATCCATGCGAGCCAGTAAGAATTCAGGATAGCTTAACTTTATTTACTGAAATCTTGCAGGCTTGACACTGATTTCGTTTAAACTTTTTTACTAGCCAGTGGTTATTTACTAATGGAACAAGCACCTTCAGTAACATGATGTGGAATTCGTTTTCCGTTTGAAAATAAATATGCCCACTCAGCTAGAGGTAGGAGGCTATTACTGACTTCCTGCAGATACAGTAAAAGTTAGAGGTTTCTGACAATTGTGACACTTTTTTGAACTGCTGAAAATAGACTAATCCCTTGTGTTCTTTGGGCATTTTATCACATGAATTCTGGAAGTCACATGAAGCAGTAACCCCTTTAATCATTCACTCTTGAAAAAAGCACATGAACTCCCTGGGAAGACATATGAAAAGACTTTAAATAGTCCTTACTACTGTACTGTCCAAATTCATTGCTGTGAAACTTCACTTCTGTCAAAAAATGCAACTTTCCAAGTCTTAGTCATACATAGCAAAATGCTAAGTAAAATATAATTGCAACACTTCTACTTATTTAGAAGCCTACGTTTCCCACAGGTACATACTAGTTTTCTCACATTAACTTCAGTAGCAGTACACTACTTTCTTCCCTGCTAGCAGCCATTAATACTTTGAAAATGGATTAACTCCTACTCTTCATCTTTGTGCTTCAGTTGCTTAACTAAAATTTAAAGATAGAACTGCTTAACTTGGATTTGAATCTATCTTTTGGGGCTAACCTTGAGCAGCCTTTAGTTTTGATTTTACTGTCAAGCAGATGTTGTCATTTGTTTCTCCTAATGCAGTATTCATAAAACTTGGGCAGAAAGTTTGAACGATTTGATCTCTGTTTAAACTCTTAACTTGTTTTTTAATGGATAATTTAATTCACTTTACTGAAAAGTGTATTGTCTACCTCTAAATTTTTTTGTTGTGGGCTTTTCATCCATAATAGTAAGGGTTTTGACAAACAGTAATAAGCAGTTTTGTTAGACTGAATTATTCAGTGGATTGTCTGTAAACTTAGGTGCACTGTAGTTGCATTCCAGATACCAGCTTAGGTCAGTTAGAGGCAAAACTTAAAAATAGGGAATCTAAAACTGCTGCTTCTCTGTTGGAAGGGATTGAAAGTGATTCTGATCTGGAATTTGTAATTGTCCAAACCCTCCCTCCCAAGATTAAGGCATAAGTGTAGGAAGAAAGTCAGCTTGTAAACCAAGAAGGCTAAAAAGTAATGGGCAAGACAAGGGGGAGCTGAAGCATGAATCTCTTAGCCTATGGCACAAAGTGCTAGCTTCTAGCCTTAGAAGGTAAGATTGGAACCTAAATGGAAGTGAGTCTGATCTCTTTCCTCACTACATAGTTTTATCAGCTTCATAGTTCAAGTGCAGATCTAGCCTGGTAAGTGACTATGTAAAGATGGGACTAATATGTACTAATAGGGAATTTGAACATAAGACCGGCCATACTGGGTCAGACCAAAGGTCCATCTAGCCCCAGCATCCTGTCTTCCGATAGTGGCCGATACCAGGTGCCCCAAAGGGAATGAACAGAACAGGTAATCATCAAGTGATCCATCCTGTCGCACATTCCCAGCTTCTGGCAAACAGGCTAGGGACACCATCCCTACCCATCCTGGCTAATAGCCATTGAAAGACCTATCCTCCATGAATTTATCAATTTTTGTTGTTAGATTCTATTCGTATGCACCAGAATTAAGTTCCAGTATGTTAAACCTGTACAAACCCTTTGAAGTTCAGGGGCAGGATAGGTGTTAGTGCATTACCTTTTACAAAAACTGATTTATGAAAAGAAAAGAACCCAGGTTGAATATGCAGGGCTATCAAAAGCTTTATATTGTAGACAGAACAAACAGTTTGAAGTCAGTGAGAGACAGACTCCCTCCCAATACCACTTTTAATCACTTTTCAAAGTAGACCAGCACTCTACCCTGTTTGAAACTTTGGCATACTCACTTTCACATTGTCATGGCTCTAACTAGCAGATCAGCAATCCCTCTCGCCTGCAATATGGGAAAGCTTGTCAAAGATTCCTAGCTCACTACACTAACTTACCTGCTTTTACCTAGTTATGAGTAGGATGTGTTTTATAAACAATGAGTGAATGTAGTAGGGGCTGAATTACCTCTATCAGTACACTAGACCACTTAACAGCTAGTTGTTTAATTTTGGTTGTATCAAACTACACAAACCTCTGTTGGCAGGATTGTTTTTCCTTATTTAAGATATTCAATTAGAATTAATTCAAAACCAATTTGGATGTGAATTAGTAGACTACATAGGCAGACTTAAAGTGAGCTACAAAGGAGAAATGCAAGGGTTGTATACCCCTCCCCCCCCCCTTGCTTTTTGAGATGTAAAGCTTGAAAGGCTTGTCAGTTTTCAGCTTGTTCTTAAAATTTGAAATTTCACGTCTACCCTGAAAGCTATGACTGGAGAACTAGTCGAGTTATGCCATGTGACTGAAAGTTGAGCAACTGAAAGGGGGAAAACAGTTTAATCAGCATTCAGAAACATTTTTTTGCTTTTACACCTATTTAACTCCCATTGCTAAAACGCTGAGGAGACAGGATGACTTAGAGACTTAACACTTCTGCCCCTTCACTTCAGATGTGAGTTTATGAGACTGCCAGAAAGTACTCTCATTTTCCCTGAGTTTGCTAGACACTCTGATTTTAAAGGTTTAAATCTCTCTCACACACACAATTCAAGCCTCCCCATCAGAGCAGCAAAATAGGCAAACCGCAAACTTGTTAAAACCCTTTACTTGTCACTAAAGGTACTAAAATAAATTCATTTCTTTAAATGACCATTATTGATCTTTGCCTCCTAATTGATGCTTGCAAGGAAATGATGTTTAAAGTTAAGTGATAACTGCTCTTGTATGAGAGAAACTCAACCTTTATCTCCAGTCTTGACAGATAAATTTGGTAATTTTGATACCTGCTTGGTAAATCAGTTTAAAATAATGCTATACATGTAATGCTGTTTAAGATCTTAATGTTAGGTAGAACAAATCCTTAATTTTCTGAACAACTTGAGCAATGAGGTTGTAAATATTTTTTCTCAAATGCATTCATTGTTACATAGCCACGTGAGCAGATGCCCATCACCTAGATTGGGAAGGCTGATGGTGCAGCACAATGGTACAGCCAAGGTCAATTTCCAGAAAATATTCTTCTAGGGAAATATCAGATGGAGAAAGGAAGTCAACTATGAAAACTTCTCAATACAGTCTTTAGGTAGCTCTGAACTAGCCCTTTTCAAAGCAGTAATAGCTGAATTATCTTGTCAACCACTTTTATGGGGCAGTGGGTGGGAGAGGAACTTGAACTATGAACATGCAATCTGAGGCTAAGCTTTTTCAGGAGAGTACCCTCCCCAGTTGTGGAAAAGGAAACTAGATGGGAAAAATCATTCATTCCTCAGTGATTGAGTCAGTTGACATGATATAGCAGCAAGTAAAGTACATACCCACTATTGTTACCATCCATACAAGGACATATGTAAATGCAGAAATCCACACAGCTGACATGAAAAATGTCACCATGAACCAGTTTTTCCAAAACTGTCTTCTGCAGTCTGGTGTGGTCAAATAGAGTAGTGTAATAATAGGAAGAGATAACACCCAGAAAATTCTTTTTAAATCTGCTTCAGGGATGGTGAAGACACTTGGAGGATCTGTTGGAGATTAAAAGGTAAACCATTTTAAACTATCCCTGTAATGAGGCTATGTTTGTGTATAATCTGATAAGCTGACTCGTAAGAATGATGGGCAAAAGCATACAAAAATACAGTCTCAAACAAGTTTTCCCTTTCTTTCGTCACTAGGAAAAGCCCCGAGTTATTTTGCTTACTTGAGTAACCTGAGCTTCTTTGTAATGGGTTTGTTTGGTGCTTTCTTAGTGAGTAACTAGGTCCATAAGTGAAGTTTTTTCATAGGTACCTGATGATTAGTCACATCAGGCGGTCACTTTCTTTTTTAAATTCCTACCTCAGAAGTGTTAGTCAAATCCATACTATAGCACATTTTGTGGGGCTATAAAACTGCCCGTTTCACAGAACACCAGTATCACACAGTTAGTGCAGGTGGCAGTTATATCAAATGAAAGACTTATCAGCTGAGCCATTGAGAAGTTTCAAATATGCACTTCAAAGAATCTCAAGGAAAGTTACTCTACTCATCATTCATAGTTCTTCTGTGGCTCAAATGAATGACTGCTTTGGCATTCTTCCAGTGGATAACTTTATATAACCAGCTCTGTGTTTTGATTTTGCTAAAGGTCAGATTCCAAGAAGGAATAGTAGTGTATTAAACTCAACTAGAGTTCTTTCTTAGTCTAAACCATTTGAAATTAATCTTACAATTTACTCAACCCCCGTTCCCATAATTAGAGACAAACGTAGACTGGTAGAGGCTGTATTAATACCTTCAGAAATTTCATCAAGCCCATGTAAACTTATAGAAAGTTGTGAGTAGTCTGATTCATCATGAAAAATTCCACTATCGATTCTTGATTGTCGACAAATTAGTGGTTCACATTCTTCCTTCCAGCCAATTAATGGCTGCTGTTCAGTGTTTTCTTCCATAGCTTTTGCAAAACAAGTACAGCAGGGACTAAACTTCTTCATAATATATTGATTGATTTTAATATCAAAACACAGCACCAGAATATATAACCCATAAATCAGCAGCAGGGAAGCACCTTCATACCTAGAATAAAAATTGGATTTTACATAAAAATCCAACTCATTTTTATCTTCAGTTATTTTTAAAGAAATTGATTTTAAAAAAGCTGTTTTAGCTTAGTAATAAGTGACTGCCCACTCAGGAGACAATTAATTGGCTTTGGCAGCAGAAGGAAAATAAGTGGAAACAATTAAACATATTTCCCCAATGCAGATTATTAAAGATTTCTAATTTACAAGGGGACACGTTATGTATAGATACCATAATGGAGACTAATGTTTCTTCTTATTTTACAGCAATTTGATTAATAGACTACAGCCCCCAGTTTCACAAACACTTATCTGTGAAAGTATTCTATAGTCTTATAGAACTACTCATGAGTAAACATTTGCAAGATTGAATCCTATTATGTTAATCAACAGAAGGCATGGTCTGAGCTCTAGGAACTTCAGAGTTCTATTCCTGGGTTTAGCTAATCTGCTAAAGGCTACACAGAGAAACTAGTCCAAATATCTTCTGGTGCAAATGGGTGCAACTCCATTGACTTAAGTAGTGTTGTCCCTTTATATTAGAACTGAGCCCACTATTTGTAAACTCAGCTCACAAGGATGTTGAGGATTTTAATGGTCTTTGAAGATAAAAATGCCAATGAGTGCAATTATTTAATAATGAACATGGAATAATGACAGTTGGTAGGTGCTTCCATTACCCAGTGAAAGAAAAACCTAAAAATTCAGATCTCATGCATATTGCAGGCTAATTTATGTGGGAAAGAAAAGTGGAGGCTGAATGGTTCAGGAAATTGGTAATTAAAGACTAAAGCCTCTCCTAGGTTCAAATCCAATCGAGGTCAATATTGACTGAAAATAGTTACCATTGGATAGTTCAGCACTACATATGAGTTACTCTGTCCATTTGATAGTGGACAACTGTCTCAAGTCAGGTGCACAAAAGAGGTTAAAGGAACAGACTGAAGACTAATGGTTGTGCAAGGGAGGGGACACCAGAACAGGTTTGAAGTGCAGTGCAAGGAAGCCTATGCTGGTTGAGATTTATAAGCAGGAATCCACAGTATGGTTAATGTAACAGCCTTCATGAACACTGAATTCAGTATACAATTCTTAAAGCCAACAAGATATTCATATTTGTGAATGTACAATACAATTAACTTCAGATTGGGATACTTGAGGTTAATGCTTGATGGAAAAAGTGACAAAATAAATTTATTTTTACACACACTAATTTCCAGTCAACATGAACTTAACACAAATTGTGCACTTACCAGTAAATTCTGCTGTCAAATATCATTGCAAGGACTGCTGCTGCACTAATTGCATATGCCAAACAGTCTCTAAACAGTGGCCAACAAGACAGCCTCGAAACCTGCAGGACACAAATTACTTTTTCAAATCTGTTGTAGTTCTTTCACCAAGTACTGAACATGCTGCCTTAATGTTTCTGTATTGAAATGTGACTAACTTGGTTCTTAGGAAATGATTTAAATGTAGTAACTCAAAAGTAACCAGTGTGGTTTTTTTTTTAAATCTTATTGGGGAGTTATCTTCTGATTGATTACATGCTGTTTTGCTACTGAGTAATAAATTGAACTGTTATCATACTAAACTTGCTTTATGGCTTTTGTCAGTAAACCATAGGAAGTTACAATTATTTGGCTCTAAAGAGAGCAGAATTAGATCAGTGTTTTACGTACCACGCTAGATAACAACCCACAAGCTGCACAGATACCAAGAAGGTTATAGATTGCAGATCCAAGGATGGTGCTAATTCCAATGTCTCCCTTTGTCACGAATACCCCTGTAAGCAAAATAGTGTTTAACATAGTTAATTTCCGCTGTTCAGTTTTTTTAGGAGAAGGGGCGATTATATATTCTGAATTGTTAAACAATTGTTCGTTTTACCTAGAAAAGCAGTGACCAATTCAGGAGCAGAGCTACCAGCTGCCATAAAAGTTGCTCCAGCAACATCCTGAGAGAGGCCAAGGGCTGAAGAGGGAATAAAATAATTACTATTAAACAAAAGTTACACCTCTAGTCTACACACACTACTTACAACTAATGTGTAAAAAGTACGGTAGCTCCTTACATTATTGGGAACCACAAAATCAACATTCTTAGCAGAAGAAAATTAATTTGTTATAGAATAAGCTATAATACAGATGCTTGGAGACCTTTGTTTGAATGTCAGTAAGACAACTGATCAAGAACTTCATTTATAAACTTTTCTAAAGATGGGTGCATAGGTTTAGGTGTTGAAATAGTTTTTGCTCTAATATAAGTGCACAAGATTTATAAACTTGTAGGATTGGGACCTTTATTTGTGGATGAAAAATTTAAAGTCAGATTAAATCCAAGTTCATTGATGCTCTAGATGTTACTTGTTTGTATCTACTTTTGTGAGAAAAATACACTCAAGTCAAGCATCAGCAACTCAGTGAAGCATAAAACACCTAACACCAGCCTTAGGACTTCCCTGAATTAATTCCTGTTTGAACTAGAGCAAACCTTTTTGAAAAAAATCCAATCTAGATTTAAAAACTTCTAGTGATGGAGATTCCCCTACAGCCCTCGGTAAATTGTTCCAATGGTTAATTACCCTATTACAATGTGCGCCTTTATTTAGAGTCTGAATTTGTCTAGTTTCAGCTTCCAGCCATTAGATATTGTTACACTTTGCTTGTTACATTGAAGAGCACTGTATTATAAATTATTGTTCCCTATGTAGATACTTGGATTGTTAGTAAATCACCCTGTAACCATCTATTTGATAAAACTAAATATATTGAATTTCTTAACTCTTTCACTATAAGTAACGTTTAAAGGATTAGAAATCATTCTGTGGCTGTTTTCTGAACACTCCAATTTATCAACATGATGCATACAAGAGGAATCCCATTGGTACTAGTGTGTGTTTGTTAAACTTTTCTGCAGGAACCAGTGTCCTGGGAAAAGCTATCTGCCTTAGTCTAGGACATCTGGTACTTTCATTTTTTAAATCACTTTAAAGTTAATCACTTTATTTACAATATTTTTCTTTTTAGTGTTAAGCCTGGATGTCCATATTAAATCTCCTACACTCCTGTAGTTTACCAGCCTTAAGCCCACTCTGTCTGTACACTGTTTCCCAACTAAGCTAAATATTGAATGTTGAACTTTCTGCCCTCATTTCTAAGTTGCACTCATATTGTCAAACTCTGCAAAGTGAATAATCTTGCCAAGAGCGGTTCAATTTTACAGAAATGATTACTAGGACTTAAAAAATAACTTACATTCACTAATGCTCTCTAGAGAAGGAAGGAAGTAATCATCACACACAATGGATACAGCCATAAACATGTAAAGGATAATTATGAAATAGATAATGATCCCCCCATCTTCTCTCTCCTGTTGTGTAAAAAATGCGTCAGGAAATTCCGATGAGGGAGGGGGGATGCATTGTGTTTTATTTTCTGAAAAGAGAATACAAAGGTCTTGTGCATATTATCAAATATTGTCTTCTCCCCCAGCTACAAAACTTTCGAGGATGTTTTCAATGGAATTCTGGGTAGGTGGAACATATGAACCTATTTTAAATGATTTGTTCTTAATTGTTGGAAGCCCCAGACAGAGAACTGTTGCAATACACATAAGGGGATAGGGATATTGCCAATGTTTCATTCCTGCACGTAGGGTGACCAGCTATCCTGATTTTATAGGGACAGTCCCAATTTTGGGGTCTTTTTCTTTTATAGGGACAGTCCCAATTTTGGGGTCTTTCTTATATAGGCTCCTATTACCCTGTCCCAATGTTTCACATTTGCTATCTGGTCACCCTACCTGCACACAACACTATGAAACCTACACCAAGGAAAGCCAGCAACCCAAACTTGTTTCCAACCCTTTGCCTAATGAGCCTTTGACACACACCCCTTTATAGAGCAACCAATGTTAAGGTATCCCGAGGTTTCCAGTACAACTGTTTGACCTCCAGTTAAGACTCCAGAAAGGCAAAAAACGGGTGGGTGCCATGTATGGCCGCAGAAGGTTTGCTTAAACGTAGACATTTTCCAATCAGATACAGGTCATGCTCGAGTTATCCTGGCAAAAGAAATAAACGGCTCCCTTCCAACCGCCGGGGAGGAAAACAGCCAGCGAAGGAAGGGGAGAAAACTCAGGACCATACTGAAATAGTTGAACGCATTTGCCTTTCTTAGCAACTACGCTCGTGTGACAAGAAAGGTCCCAGCTCTTTCCGACGCTTCCCCCTGGGCACTGTGTGCATCACGGCTTGATTCGCTGAAAAGCCCCAGTAAACCGAGCGGCCCAGGCGATGGCTAGTCCTGTAGCTACTGCGCTTTTCCCACCCACGCTCCATCCCCGAGCCCCTGTCCGGCGGGGTCCCCTGGCGCACGGGGCGGGGGTTTGGAGCGGAGCCGCTCCCGAGGTGTGAACGCAGCCGGCTGACACTCCGCGCCCCCGGCCTACCTGTGTCCCTGCGGAGCCGCTGGGCGGCAGCGCCCCTGCGAGGCAGGTGAAAGGCGGCCAGAGCCCCCAGGAGCAGCAGGACGGAGGCTGCCCGGCCGCCTCTTGCCCGGTTCCTCCAGCCTCCCTTCATCGCGCCGGCCTCAGCCTCGCACTGAGCCGCCGGGGGAGGCGTAGAGGGGATTAGGGGCCGGCGGGATCATGTGAGGGGGCGGTTTTGGCCGCTCTCCCCGGGCGCGCAGCGGCAAGGAGGCAGGGGGTGGGGAGCTCGCCTCCTGCTGCAGCCCAGGCCCGATGCCGCCAGACCCGGGCTCGTTCTCCCGGCGGCTGGCGCCCCGGACTGCCTGTCCTGGGCCGAACGGGGGACGCCCCACGCTGGGGTGCTGCTGGCAGGTGGGGCTGAGTTTCGGGCCCTCGCTAGTCCCGCGAGGCGGCTGCTCCCCTCCCCCCGGTTCGGTAACGAGCCAGGCCTCGGGCTGGAGTTCCCTTAGCCAAGGCTACCACTGCCAGGGGTAGATACAAGCCGTAGCTAGGACTCCCTCCCCCCGCTTCTCCCAGGAATTGCCCCCAGAGGCGCAGGGCCTAGCCTGCCCACTGAAGGGCGCCAGGCACCAAGTGCAGCACACAAACAGCCCTGAAGTTCTGGGGGAGGCCCGGATCTCGCAATGGGTTCTGAGCCCCTGTGCTCAGGCACAGACAAAGGTCTGTCCGGTTGCAGACTGGAGGCTTTAGCTATTATTACTAACTGCCCTTAGTTTCTGCAACTGTGGAGAAAGCATGTGACGTGTTGGCCACCACCCATCTTGCACTGGTGCAAGCTGCTGAGACTGTGCAAATGTTGGGATGGGAAGGAGATTTAATGTAGGCTGCTCTCATACCAATATGTCTATCTTCCTTGCACCACTCTACAGCCTCAGCTTAGTCCCATTGGGTTGTGATAGAGTTCCCACGCGGGGTGATGCCAATACCAAATTTGTGGGGGAAGAAGACTTCCATACCCGTCAGATGAATTATTCAGCAAGAGTCACAGTGAGACCAAGCACACAGGCCCCTGCTTCAGAGCCTGCAACCCAAACTTGTTTCCATCCCTTTGTCTAATGACCTTTCAACAATTACACACCTGACTTCAATGAAGATTAAATACAAAGCTTTCTTGCTTAAAAATGTATTTTAATAGGTACCACAAAACTCTTGGTTACTCCGAAGGAAAAGCTGAGTTAGGTTTCTATCGAATCAATTTCTAAACTTAGTGTCCATAAATGTTTACTGTCCAATTATGTGAAATGACATTGTAAAGTGCCAATATTGTAACTAGCCATTTCTTAGGAGCAGGGCTAATGCTCACTCACATTTAGATATTTGGGCTTATTTCTCTCGCAAATTGAAAAACATTATTTTGCTTCATTGCATCCTAATCCTTTAAGTGTATTGCTCCTTATTCCCATGCTGTTTTAGCTAATGCATGATCGACCACCGTATAGTATGCATAAAATGTGATGTGGTTTAGTAACTCCACTGCAAAAGTGTGGCAGGGTAAATTTTTTTCCTTTTTATAATAAAAGAGATTGTGTCTACGAAACATCATTAGGACAGGGTGGAGACTGGCAATTAAAAAAAACTATTCTGAACCAGCCCAGTCAGCCATAATAGCTATATCAATCTCCAGCACCTCTTTGTCTCAATATTAAAAACAGTGTGATTGTTCTCTCCCAGAATAGTATAAGTTATAAGGGCCAAGGTTTCAAAAGCGGCTTGTGAGATTGGGTGCTTAACCTGAGACATTTTAAAGGGTGAGTGCTCAGTGTCTTCTGAAAATCAGCCACTCTAAGGTGTGTCAAGTTGGGAACCCAAAATTACTAGCTACTTTTGAAAATCTTGGTAAAAGCTTTACATTGTTTCTCTGACATGAAGAGAGAAAACCAGGGGGTGGAGATGGAAATAATCTTGGCCCTGATAGATTTATCTATAAGGAAACTTAAATCCATATTCTTCTGATTCCTGTTTTTCACTATGGGTGCATTTTTACTAGAGACAAACAGAGGAGGACTTTCTGGAACTGGAACTCTTTCTAGTCACTGTTTAAATTATCTAATTTCCTGCTTCCTCTATGTAGGTCAATAAAGGGGGTCTTCCTACACAAGGTCTCTAGCACCATCCCCTGGGTCTCTTCCATAAAGGTAAGCTGATTGCTCACCCATTACACAATGAATACTGTAATACAGCTTTCTAGTATCCAGTGTGTTTAAAGAGGATCTTTTCAATTCTATTTTTTTTATGGTATCTGTCTTTTATTGGTTGAAATGACATTTGCAGCTCTGATTGAAATGTGTGCTCTAACTGGAACAGAACAGCAATTCTTCTTAGAGTGATTGCTCATATCGATTCCAATTAGGTGCGTGTGTGCCGCGTGCACAGTCGTTGGAAAGTTTTTCCCCTAGCAGCACCCGTCGGGTTGGCTGTGGAGCCCCCTGGAATGGCGCCTCCACAGTGCTCTATATATGACCCTGCCAACCCGTCGCCTTCTCAGTTCCTTCTTGCCACCAGTGACGGTTGTTGGAACTGTGGTGTCTTGCTCAGCAAGCTCTCCACGTTTCCCTAGCTTCTATCTACGTTAGTGTTTGTCTTCCATAGTAAGTTTAGTTAGTTACACTGCTCTACAGCCAAAATGCTTCTGAAATAAATGTAGTCAAACTTTACTAATTCTGGGTCACTGAGAACGAAAATGATGCTTAAAATTGTTGATTGGCTCTAGTTTTCAAGATATGCTATTGGGTCAGTATATACGACCCTTGACTTGGGAATGGCGGAGGATAAGTGAGTTATAAAGGGAAGGGATCTCAATTTAAACCAGAAATGACTAAAATACATCTTTGACTGGATCTATGAATAAATCTATGACTGGGTTTGGACAGTACTTGCTTTTTAGGCAAAACAATGAATGATGCAATCTGAAGCTGGTATTGCGTCATACATGATATGAATGGCATCATGTTATTCCTAGAAGTCATGGATGATGCAATCATAACGAAGCTTACATCACTCTGCTGAACAAATTGCCCTACATCAGCTCTAGAAATCATACGGTGTCGTGCTCTCTTATTTGTCAGTGTTTGATTTTGCAAAGGGACACATTTCTGTTTAGCCTAAGTGAGCAGAGATGCCTCGTACTTGTGTGAACAGTGCAGATAACTTCTGCTATGTTTGTGGTGAAGTGACTTTTGCATCACAAAAGCGCAGTATAACCACTATGGTTAAGAAAGCCTATCACCTTTCTTTTGGCTGCAAAATTGGAGATCAGGACAAGAGGTGGGCCCCACACATATGCTGCAACACTTGTGCAACAAATCTTC